AATTTTCTCCAGCAGGAATTTATTGTTTTGGACAATGCCCCAGCCACCCAGAACTCCATGAGTTTCATGGCTTTTTCTATAACCTCATGAGTTTCATGGCATTTTCAATGGTGTAATCCTCCCAGACTTTCATGATGTTCTCTCTATTGGGATTCTCTTCCATAGCATTGCTGATCCTTTCCATAGAGTATCACAGGTAATGAGCTGCCTTAAGGTTCTTTATTACCCCCTGATTTAGAGGCTGACTTAGAGACATTGTGTTTGGGAGCTAGTAGACCACTTCAATGCCCTTGGTATTGAACTCATGCAGTTCTAGGTGGCCAGGGTCATTGTCCAACATCAAAAGAATTTTAGAATGCAGTCCCTTACTAGCAAAGTACTTCCAGACTTCAGGAACAAAACATTGATAGAACCAATATATAAAAAAGGATCATCATTGTCCAGGCCTTCTTGTTGTGCAGCCAAAGACTGGTGACTGGTGTTTATCTTTTCAAGGCTCAGGGGTTAGCAGCTTTATCAGGGCACTCCTAATCAGAAACTCAACTGCATTTGCATAAAACCGTAGAATTAGCCTCTCTCTCCTGCTTTAAATCCTGGTGCTCAATTCTCTTCCTTATTAATAAATGTCCTTTTTGGCATTTTTTTTTTTTCTAGAATAGGGCACTTTCAACTGTGTTAAAAATCTGTTCAGGCAGATATCCTTTCTCCTCAGTGATTTTCTTAATGGCATTTGGGAACTTGTCTTTTGCCTCTTGGTTGACAAAAGCTGCTGCTTCTGTTATCTTGACATTTTTTAAGCCAAACCTCTTTCTAGGATAAACAAACTATTCTTTTCTGGCGTTTAATTCTCCAGCTTTAGATTTTTCACTTTCTTTTTGCTTTGTCATATAATGACTTTGCTCTTTCTTGAATCGTATTTGAGTCTATAGAGATGCCTGTCTTGTAGCAATCCTGCACCCACATAAAAGCTACATTTTCAATACAAGAGATATTATGCAAAAAGTTCAAGATTTTCACACTTGCTGGTGTAGCTATAGTGATGGCTTCACAAATTTTCTTTTTTCTTTTTTCTTTCTTTTTTTTTTTTTTTTTAGTTCTTACCTGAATTCGTTTATCTTGAAATGGCGGGCACCTGCAGGAGCAGACCTCAATGTATGGTACAAATCAAGCAATTCAACTTTGTCTTGTAATGTCATGACTTTGTTTCTTGGAACACTTCCAGCATCACTAGTGGCACTTTAGCATGGGTCCCATGGTATTATCCAAGGTTTACCCTATTGTACTAATCATAATGAAAAATATGCAAGAACTGTAAAAGCACTTTTTACTGTAATCCACAACTTACTGCAGAGAGAAACTGCTCACGTGGAGGTTTAGTGTCACACAGTATTTTAAGTGGACACTTGCAAAACTTGAGCTCACTGAGATAGCAACAGGTGACCACAAAATTATTACAGTAGTACAGTATGTACTATGGTTAGTTTTATGCAGTTATGATTTAATGGTACATCTTAATGTTTGTTTACATTTCTCTTAACTGAGAATGTACAGTCAAAAGTGTTTGTAAGTTTTAATAAATTTTAACTTTTTATAACAGATTTGTGTATATTTTATAGGTATAAATAATAAAATAGACTAGTATCTACATACATGAATTCATGACACACCTGGCTTTTTCTTAATTTTAAAAAATATTTTCAGGCTACACATTTTGTTTGGGCATTTTTTCAAATTACCACAAATCTCCAAAATTTTTTTCAGTACATTTACTGGAAAAAATCCACATATAAGTAGACCCACACAGTTCAAACCCGTGTTGTTCAAGGGTCAACTGTATTTTCATTATACTTCTTAATCTTCATTTTGTTAGTCTCAGTTCTGTTTATATATTCTTGGTGTCCCAATTGTATAATTTAATGTGTCTATCCATCCTGATCAGCAGGAGTCTAAATTTTCAGGGTGAAGGGGAGATTCTGTGACCTGACACTATATACACATCCCACCTTCCAGGTGGTATAGACCCGGTAACACTCTTCCTGGGGCAGTTGTTCTCTTAGCTAAGGGATCAGTAGCACACGGCCATCCAGGCCACACCCGTGCAGGTTTACAAGGGCATTTCTCTAGAGACTTGTCAGGTACTCTACCCTATCATAGGAACAGATGAGCCTAGCTGCTCAGGCTTAATTATTGTTGAGCCCATGAAAGATTCTTACAACTATAGTTTTGTCTCCTCAATGTGCATAACTCACTTTAAAGAGCACTTTCTGATCCCAGCACTTTGTGAGGCTGAAGTAGGTGAATTGCTTGATCCCAGGAGTTCAAGACCAGCCCAGGCAATATGGCAAAACTGTGTCTCTACAAAAAATACAAAAATTAGCTGGAAATGGTGGTGCACGACTGTAGTCCCAGCTACTTGGGAGGCTGAGGTGGGAGGATTGATTGAGCCTGGGAGGTCTAGGTTACAGTGAGCCAAGATTACTCCACTGCACTCCAGCCTGGGTGACAGAGAGACCCTGTCTCTATTAAAAAAAATAAACCTTTAATTGTATATAGTTTTATATTTACAGAGAACTTGGAAAGGTAGTACAGGGAGGTCTCATATATCTTGTGCCTGGATTTCCCTATTAACATCTTACATTATGAGGGTACATTTGTCACAACTAAGAAACCAACATTGACACTTACCATTATTCACAGTTTGGATTTTGCATGTTCTGTTCTAATGTCCTTTTTCTGTTCCAAAATCCCATCAAAGACATCATGTTACATTTCGTTGTCATGTCTCCTTAGGCTCTCCTGGTTTGTGACATTTTCTTGGTTTCCTTTATTCTGATGACCTTGATAATTTTAAGGAGTAAAGATCAGGGATTTTGTAGATTGACCCTCAATTTGAACTTGTCTGAGTTTATCTTGTGGTTACTGGGATTATGGGTTTTTTGGTGAGGGAAAGACCACAGAGGTGAAGTGCCATGCTCATTGCATCATGTCAGGGGCACATGCTGTCAACATGACTTATCAGTGATGATGCTGACCTTGGTCGCCTGCCTGAGGTAGTATTTTCTAGATTTTCTCAGCACAAGTCACCTTTAACCTACTCTAAAACTTTGCCAAGGAACAGCACAAATGTTTCCTGGTTTGTGTTTTCCAGGATACATTCTTTCCCTGTGCCTGAAAAAGTGGGATGTATGAGTTCAGTTTTCCGATTCCTGCCTTAGTCACCATGATCCCTGAAAGACTTGATCCATCATTTTCCAATTATGTCTGCAAAACCTTTCAGAATTCAGGGATGCAATCAATCTCAGGCAGGATATATCCTCATGTTTCATTTATTTATCTATTCAATGCATATTTGATATCATTTTTATTACAAGGTCTTTCCTAGGTTCTGAAGGCAGATAAATTTATAAGCCATAACCCTTCTTCTGGTAGGCCAGCCATGTTTAAAAAAATACTGTAGTTCAGTGTACCGGTGTTTACTAGGGCAGTGAAGGGGAAGGTTGTCTGATGAAATCTGCTTGGGGTGGAGTTTAGGGGTGGTACATAGGGTGGTTTGTCTACAACCCTTTTCTAGCTTCCTTTGACCTTCAAGGACTTTCAATTTTTTTTTGGGCTGACTTTGCCCAAAACCCCAGTGCTAACTATATGTACACTGTATAGACATCTGAGACCCAAAATGGGACCAGCTTTAGACGAAAGGGACATCGGATAATAGTCACACCGTCACCCTTTGCATCAAGCTGGCCCCAGGAATGCCTCCCCATAAGAGGAGAAAGTAAACAAGGCAGGGCACTTCCACCCAGCCCCCAGGGCAATTCAGGTTCTCGAGTGGTGAGCATTACATAAGGCCCACAGGCTATAAACCACCCTAACAGGCATAATGACTTTCGCGCCTCCACCTGAAGGGGCTCATTGCAATAAGGTAACAGCTCTTGCAGATGCCTCTAGCTTTAACTATGGGAACACTTGCTTTATAGCACCACCTGAATGATCTATATCCTGTTCTCGTCAATGGCAATTTCAGGAGTGATTTGGCTTATGTCTTTTGTGCATGTGTGTCTACTCAGCACCCTGAAAACTTTTGGCTTTGAGAACATGTGAAGTGTGTGTCACAGCTGCAGAGCTGGAGATAGGGAGAGATGGGTCCTGAGCTAGCTGTCATTAAGAGATAGCACTCAGGAATTCACACTAGTCGAGGGGACAAGACTAATCTCCATTCTGCATTCATTCACCAATTCATTCATTCACAAACCCTTCCTGAGTCCTCCATTTACAAGCACAAAACTGCATGAATACCATGGCTTCATGTCAGTCAGGTTTCCTTCTTAGATCTGTTGTCAGAGGAATACACTCAGGCAAGCTGTGTCTTTACTAGGCTGTGGGGCAAATTCTATCACAGAATGATGAGTGGAGCTAATGAGAACCTGAATATATGGTGAGTTAAATGTTTGGGAAAGTTTTCTAAGCCAAAAGCCTATGTATCATTCTTCACTCTTCTGTCTCCCTTCCCTGGAGATACCCTGGACAATTCTACTTCCTAATATCTTTCTTGAAGCATTTATTTGTCCCCATCTTCACCTCTCTGCCTGCAGTTCATTACCTCTTATCTGGATTACCACCTCTCACCTGCTCTCTCAGCAGTCATCCTTGTCTCCCCGCATCCATTCCCCATACTACACACAGATGAGCTTTCTAAAGTGCAGATCTGGTCACCCCTCCCTCCTGCTCTGTGATTTCTTGTTGACCTTAGAATAAAGCCCCAAAGCTTTCACGTTGCAATCTGGCTCCTGCTTGTTTCTCTAGCCTCATCTCTCAGGTGTCTGCTCCCTCTTCAAGTGTATGCCCATGCACACACACATACACACACACCCTTCTCCACACCCCAACCTGATCATTTGACTGTGTCTCTGCTTAGTTTTTATTTCCTTGGCAGAGCCTTTGCTGACCTCCTCCATAGCCTTTATACTCTTGTATTGTAATGTAATTACTTGTCTTCCTTCCAGGACTGTGGGATCTGCCAGAGCACAGACTCTTTGTCCATTTCTTTATCCTTCCCATGTCCTGTGATGACGCCTGGCCCATAGAAGTAACTCAGTAAGTTTGATGAAAGAAAGAAGGAATGGAGATAAGAACGGAACTTCTGAGCATGAGTGAGGTTCTGTGTGCTGGTAGCAGGGAAGGATGGGGCCAGCATCTTTGTGCTCTGCAAGTCTTGGAGAAATGCCCAGCCAGGTCCCAGAGTAGTTCAGCATGGAGCCAGCTTCTGGACCAAGACCAGTAACAATTAAAACAACTAAGTAATTTTTGTATTTCCACTCTACCAAAAAGGATTTATTTGAAAAAATACAGTAAAATTTTTAAAAAAGATCAATAAGGGAGAAAATTTGGCTTCTGGATAAGATTAATACTCTAAATGAGGTTAATACCCCAAAAGAGGTGTGTACACTTGGGCAATGAATTGGCTCTGAGGTACCTGGCGGGCCATGCAGAGAAGGAAATGTGATGGGTTATAGGCTTTATGATGTCCATGAAATGAAAATAGTTCAATTGGGGTGGAGAAGAACAAGGTTTCTTGGTACTGAGGCCAGAAAGAGACTTCTCCTGTGGATTATTTTAAAGAAGAAGTCAGGTAACATGATGGATGATAATCTCAGCCGTATCTTTTCAATAGAACAATGGGGACAAATCTTGGAATGGCTCTAAATGGTAGCTGATATAGCCAATACCACAGTTCATTCTAGTAAGAGTGCTTGCACAATGACACTAAAATGTGATTATCTATGCACCCAGATTTCTGATGATTCAGCTCAGTCCAGTAAACATTTTATAATATTTGGAACAAAGTCCTTAAATTGGTCCTTATGAGGCCTATGAACTCTTGATACAGCATGCAAATTTTTGAGCACATGTTTATGTACATTTTTCTGGGGTGAAGGTTCGTAATTTCTCCCTCAAAGTTCTAAACCACTAAATCAGTTAAACAGCTGTGCTATATCTCCTTAGACTATTTCTTACCCATCAATCTTCTGCTCCGTGTTGCTTGGTCAGGAATTTGGGGTTATGCTATTTAATGAAATCCATATACATGGAATCAGATACTTGATGCTGCAGGTTAAGATGGTCAATTGCATTGGGCTAGAGTTTATGACTCCCAGTGAAAGTTTAGCTGCTCAATGAACATGTGTGTTTGAACCCAAGGCCAGAGCTGTTGCACTAAGTGTTTATAGAAGAAATAAATAGAAAGGACAACACTTCGTTAAAAGTGACAAGGGCCAGAACAACCAAGCAGCCATCCAAGCCATTGACTGTGGAGTACTGTGGACTCGGCCAACACCTGAAGACACAGAGCTGGTGCCAACAGAGAAGGGAAGGAAGATGGAAGCTCTGAAAGGAAGCATTCCCCTGATCCGGGTTGCCTTTAATCAGGTTGATTAATAGGAGTCAGCAAATAAACTCTAATCAAAAGATGCCTTAAACCCTGGAGAACTCTCATGCTCTCTCTCTTTTTTGGATTAATTTTTTTCCTAGTAGAGATGAAAAGGAGCCATTATCTAAATGAGGCTGCGTAAGATGATTAGATGTTATTTACAGAAAGGGCATGAAATCATCCACTGGACCCTGGGTGTGCTTAGCAAGACATTATTTTGTTATCAGTGTCATTGTTTTTATAGTTGCAAAGGGATACCTCCGGTGTGGTGAGGAGGAATTCCCCTTATTTCAGTAATCGCTGATTACAGGAACTAGAAAAGTCAGTCATTTCCAATACAGCAATACTCAGGGGGCCTGTATCTAATGCAAACCACAGATTTTTCAATCAATTGATCAGCACATATGTATTGATCGATTGCCTACTATGTGCATGGTGCAGAGAAGATTCATGAGCAGTAGATGTGGAGTACAGTCCAGCCTCTAGGAAGCTTTCTTGTATTGCAGTGTGACAGGCAGTACTTTAGTGTGAAGATTAAAATGCAGATTCTGATTCAGGAGATCTGAGGTGGGGCCCAAGAATCTGTATTCCTAACAAGTTGGAGCAAGGACTACACACTTGACACACTTCCTTTTCTTTTTCTTTCTCCTCCTCCTCCTCCTCTTCTTTTTTTTTTTTTTTTTTTTTGAGACAGGCTGTCACTCCATTGCTCAGGCTGGAGTGCAGTGGCTCAATCACAGCTCACTGCAGCCTCGACCTCCTAGGCTCAAGGGATCCTCCTACCTTAGCCTGTGGAGTAGCTGGAACTAAAAGTGTGCACCACCATGCTCAGCTAATTTTGTAAATTTTTTTTGTAAAGACGAAGTCTCCCTATGCTGCCCAGGCTGATCTTGAACTCCTGGGCTCAAGTGATCCTTCCACCTTGGCGTCCCAAAGTGCTGGGATTATAGGCATGAGCCACCTCAACCCACCTAGGACTACATACGCTGAGTAGCCAGGTGGGAGACTGCAGATTGCCCTGATGAAAAGCTGGGAGGTGTGGGCTGTCAGTAAAGCTCCGACACTCACCACCTGTGCAAACTTGGCCAAATTGCTTCATCTTGAACCTCAACTTCCTTTGACATAAACCAGAGGGTCTCTTTGGGCAGCTGGTGCCCTGTACAACTCCCCCAAGGGCACACTGATGTGGGCTACAGGTGAATGGCACCCTCTAGAGTTGTGTGGGACACAGCCTCACCAAATGTATGCAGAGCTCCTGAAAAGGCTGGATTAGACAGTGGTTGTCAACCTTGGCTGCACAATACCATCACATGCTAAGATTTAAAAATGTCAATATCTGCCCCTGGCCCCTGCGATTCTGACATAATTGTTCTAGGATGAGACCTGGGCCTTGGTACTGCTTTTGTTTTTTCTTTTTGCCTGGATAGACAGGTGGTAAGAAGGTATTGTTTTTTTTTAAAGCTCCCCAGAGATTACGAGATGCTCCTTAAGGTCCATCCCAGTGTGAGGTTCTGTGACTCTTAGACTGTGCCCACAGAACTCTGGGATTGTTTAACTCTGGGAGACCAGAGAAGGGAAAAATGGGTACAGAACAAGGTGAGTCTATGGTTTTGCTGGAAAAATGTCGGTTTAAACAAAGAGACGGGTGGAGAAGCTATCCTAGGCGGACTGTGTGAATGTTACTGAGGCTTCTGTTGATGGAAGACATTTCTATTTGGATGGGTGCTGGGAATTGATCTGTGAACTCTTATTTGGGAGAGAAAAACAAATAGCAATATCCATGAATGCATAATCACACATAATAACGAGGGCTTGTGTATTAGTCTATTCTCATGCTGCTAATGAAGACATACCTGAGACTGGGTAATTTATAAAGGAAAGAGGTTTTGACTCAAAGTTCAACATGGCTGGGGAGGCCTCAGGAAACTCAGAATTATGGTGGAAGAGGAAGCAAACACGTCCTTCTTCACACAATGGCAGGAAAGAGAAGTGCCTAGCAAAAGGGGGAAAGCCCCTTATAAAATCATCAGATCTTGTGAGAACTCACTATCATGAGAACAGCATGGATGTAACCACCCAGATGATTCAATTACCTCCCACTGGGTCCCTCCTATGACACATGGGGATTATGGGAACTACAATTCAAGATGAGATTTGGATGGGGACACAGCCAAACCATATCAACTTCTTAGAAAGGAAAACAGAGAGGGGCAGGGAATGAGGCATATGACAGAGCTCTGATTTAGACTTGGGGGGTTGAGGATCTAGACTGGGGGCTTGAGGAAGAGGCAACAAAACTGAGAGGAGCAGTAAGAAGGAGCACTTCCTTCTGTCCTAGATCCTGTTTAAGGCTTTGTGGAGTCCTCTTAATCCAGCTCAGGAGAGTCCTGAGAACATGGGGTGAGTGTCAGGAAGGTGAGGGCAGGCCAGAGCCTTCTGAGAGGTCCTGGGCTTTTCCTCAGAGGTGCCTCCTCTGTGTCCTCCCTGTGTATGGGCTGCCTCCAGGACCCCATGAATACACCTGGTTAGAACTGGCTGACTGAGTTTGGTCCCTGCTGGCCTTGAAATAGATGGTCCTATGAATGTGGGCATTGATTTGAGCCCAAGTACCCAGGAGGAGGCTCCTTTAAGTATTAAATGCATTTCCTACTTTGTCTTTTTTTTTTCTGTCAATCCAGCTTTTCTGTCAAAGCTGTCTTTTCTTATCCTCATCGTCCTCCTGTCTTGTCGGCCTTGGCCTGGAGACTGGCTAGGAGTCCTAGAGGGGCCACCTGAGAGTGGGGGATGATGCATCCCCCTCCACCCTGGATCAGGCTTCACTCCACCTAAATCCCACTCTCCACAGGCATTTTAACTAAAACGGATCCTGCCTGCTATGAGCAAAAGTAGCCTCCCAAATCTATCCAAGAAGTGTGATTGATAGCGCTGCTGAGGCTTGAGACAAAGAAGCCCTCTCTGGTTTTTGTATTAATGCTGGGTTATCTCCCACGGTATTGATTTTTTGTTTGGCTTTTGAAATTTCTCTTCTCTGCTTCTGAGTCTTTCCTATAAAAATGAAAGAGGAGGTGAGGGATGATGGCGCCTGGGTTGACAAGCTTTGCTGACTTGCAGTATTAGCTGCTGTTTTCCATTAGGTCTCTCCAAGCCTGTCAACTGCCTCTTCTGGATAGAAATATATTTAAAACGTGGTATGAAAAGGTCCCCATGAGTCAACAGTAAGAGCCTGCCACCAAGTTTAGTCACTGGATTAATCTTCCCATCCTTAGCACTTGGGTCCCCTTCAAGGAAGCAGCAAAGATTTTGATGGACTCTAGCCTGTTGCTCTCAGTCCTCCTCTCCCTCTCCAAAGACAGCTCAACTTCTGGAAAACTGCCAAGGGATGAGGCTGGCCTCACGGGCTCTCAGCCTCCCTTCATCTCTTCTGTTTCCCCTCAGATATGTCCCATTCCTACTTCTCTCTTCCTCACCCCTTCCTGCGCTGAGAGCCACCATCAACACTTGGATGTGAATGTCTTCTTAGGCTGTAGAGGGGAATCCTCGCCTATGGGATTTTGCCTTTACTAGGACTTCAGGCTTAAGGATGTTAAGCTCCAAACAGTGGAGTTTCATATATCCCTCAGTGGAGAAAGGATATTTTGGAGGAAAAGCAGAAATGCAGCATTCTCTGAAATCTGAATGTTACCCTCCACCTCTGCTTTCCTGGTAGTGCTTTCATCAGGTTGGAGGGCATATGGGGCCAATGCGGGTGGCATGGCTACATCTCAAATCCTTGGGCCCTTCATTCAGTTAGTCAACAAGTGTTTGAATTGAATTAAGACCCCATTTGTTTACAGGGTTATGCTGGACCCACAACCCTTCTTTGTTAGAGTTTTCATCTCTTTAGCTATTTATTCTGGGTTCCAAAAAGAATTATGCAGGCCTAGTCCCAGACACTGTGCTAGTGCCAGGGGTGCAGGGATGGGCAAGAGAATCAGGCTCTGTCCTTGTGGAGCTGTGAAGGTTGGAAACCTGGGAGTCTCCTTTGCCTCTGCTCCCTTTCCACTAGCACATCCAGTTATCTTCTTCTGTCTCCCTGCCACTGGCCTTGACCACTCTCATCTAAAGCTTCTAGAACAGTGCTTATCACATATGGTAGACAAACAGTACGTTTGGTCTACCATTGTCCCCACCACACCCCTAAGCCATGATTCAACATCCAAGTCTGACCCCTATCTTGCTCAGAAGTCTCCAATGACTCCCCCTTTTCTATGGTGTAAAATGGAATAGGCCATTCAGGATTTGGTCCCTGCCAATCTGTCCAACCTCATCTCCTGCATTAGTCAGGCTTCTCCAGATAAACAGAACCGATAGGATATGCATGTATATTCAAGCCTTGGGGGCACTCTGCTTTACCCAAAGTTCAACAAGTTAAATGTTAATCTTATCTGAAAACACCTTCCAAGTGAGTACATGAAATTAACCATCACACCCCCTTTGCCCTGTATGTTCTGGCAATATCGCACCTCCTTTTAGCTTCCAAAAATGGTCCACTATCCTGCCTCTGGGCCTTTGTACACACTGTTCCTTTCGCCTAATTTATCTTTCCCCATTCTTGTCCACTCAGCAGACACCAATTCTCTCACTAATCCAACCTCAGCTGCAAAGCACTTTCTCTCAGTGACCCCTTGGACCCTCACAGAGAGATTTGGGTGCTCTATGTTGTTATTCCCATTCTATTTTGTCATATCATTTATCATGTTGTGTTAGCTGGCATATCTCCCTTCCCCCTGGGATGGCAAGGGCTTATCTTTTTGTTTTTGTCTAAGTCAAGCCTTCTGTTGGGTATTGGGGAAAATCTCTTGGACTTTAGGGCCTCAATCAATGATCTTATAATCACCCTACCACCTCATTTTAGTTACTTATAAAGTAGGGGATTGAACCGATAGGGGAGTGATCACTAATTGCTTACCTCATAGTCGTTCTCCCTCTACTTCACAGTCATGAAGCTCTTAGCTGAGCCCATGGCCTCCTGGAAGTAAAACTGCATTTCCCAGCAGCCTGTGCAGCTGTATGTGGCCATGTGACT